AAGGTAATACCAAAAATAACACTACAAATTATAAAAACTGGTATGTGAGCGTTGATAACTTTATCATCAAATTTTCTTTCTTCAGGAATTTTTTCATGTTGATATTATTTTTAAGAAGTCAATAATCTTAAGTAATTTAGTAATAATAACTTAAAAGTACTGTTGAAGAGATAAGAACTGTGTGCTGAATATTGCGTTGTAAATTTTGCCCTGCTGCTGAGCAGGAAATGAATGAAACAACATTTCAAGTGAGATGAAACAAATTCCAAGGCTGTCAGATAAATAAATTAGTAAATAGTTATTTTTAAGCATATCTGATGGAATATTTGTTTTGGAACTTCTCATTAGAATAATTTAAAAGTTGATATTGCAATATAAAGCTAAAATAATATTGCAAATAAATACTCCAGTTCATATGCGCATTTGCAAAAATAATGGAGTTCATAGCCAAAAAACTTTTGAACGTTGCTATAACTCTTGAGAACCTAATCTGTCGGAGTGAATAAATTTTATGGATAGAAATGTGGAAATGTCGCACTTATTATTTAAACAGAAATGTGAATCAGAATATAAAGTAAAAATAAGATAAATAAAATTAAGTTAAAAATAAGGAATGTTAAGTTTTGGTTAGTATTTTTTTCATTATGAACACAATTTGAAATAATATATTGTGGTAGAAATTTAATTTTGTAAAATAAATGCTAATAATGAAATGTTTAAGTTTTTTTTAATAATAATGTTCTCGAAATATAAATTTTAGCCATGTTTTTCTATTAATGAATAAAGTGTCTTCTGCTTTACTTTTTTTTAAAAAAAATCAGAATCAAAAAATTTCTAAATTTTGCATAAGTTGAAGACAAAAACTTGAATTAAAAGTTATGCGGCTTGCTCGTCATGCTACATATTCATGTATGCTATATACTACACTCTATAACAAAAAAAATCGACGCACCAAGAAGGAGTTGTCCGATTGAAACGAAAATTGGTTGATAAGAAGACAATGTACAGAATAGTAAATGATTAAAATTTCAGAACAATTGAATAATTTATTGCAGAGTTATAGTAACAAGTTCAATAAGGCGTTGACCCGCTTCTAGCCCGGATACAAGCTGCCAAACGGCATGGCGAAGACCAATAAAGCTCCCGGGTGGTCTCTTGCGGCATTTCCTGCCAAATTCGATCCAATTGTCGAACGAGGCCATCAACATTCCAGCCAGATGCAATCGCCTTCCCATCATATCCCAGGCATGCTCGATGGGAGAGAGATCTGGTGATCTAGCAGGCCAAGGAAGAGTTTGACAAGCTTGCAGACAGTTCATAGCAACACGTGCAGTATGTGTTCTGGCATTGTCCTGCTGAAAAACCAGCCCAGGGCGCTGCAAAAGGAACGGTGGCAAAACAGGTCTTAGGTTGTCGTCGACGTACCGCTGTGCAGTATGTGTACCTCTAATGACGACCAAAGGGGTCCGGCTGTCAAAGGAATTGGCACCCCAGACCATAATGCCTTGTTGAGGGTCGGTGTGGCGTGCAATAGTGAAGGCAGGATCCCCTCTGTCCTGTGCGTCTCCAAACACTTCTTCGATGATCGTCAGGACACAGTTGGAAGCGGGATTCGTCGCTACGTCCCCAGTCGGCATCATTCCAGCCTAATCTGTTCAAAACATTCATGCATACGAAATTTCAAAGCAATCGGGTGATTGCTTCTTGGTGCGTCGATTTTTTTGTTATAGAGTGTATATATTATCTTGAATTACAAACAATGAGTATTTACTAACCGTTCTTTCTTGTTTAGAATTGTAACAAAAACGTTTTTCATTACCATGGTGTACTTTTTTTAGACGCAGAATTTTCTTAAAATTCTATAAGCTACTTGAGACATGAAGTCTATGATACCTCATTTAACGGCAACTATTGCGTGAATTTTTTAAAAATTTTTTAATTTTTTTATTTTTCTTTATTTCAATTTGGTTAACACAGTGGGCCCTAATTTCTGTTCTATAAATCCACTTCACTTGGGTTTGATGTCTTGCGAAATCAAAAACCGGCACGAAACTTCAAAATGACCCCGTTTAGCTGTTTTAGGTATGGAATTATCTAATATATATAATTCTCTTACGTGGCTCCCGAATTTTGGCTGTATTTCTTTTCCGCCGGTGGCAGCAGTTTTCATTTTTAATGAAGTACTTTACAACTAAATAAGATTCTTTTCACAACACTTAAATATTTACTTTATTTTCTTCATTGATAGAGAGAGCAGTCAGCAGAGACTTCTGTTAGGTACATACAAAATGTTTTTTAACATTTTGCTAAAAAAAGAACGAATTCTAAAAGAAATAAAAATAAACAACTTAAAAAATAAAAATGCTGTTGCCAGCCATAGAATTTTTTGAAAGTTAACTTAGCAACATAAATCAAAATGACATAGAAGCGCAACTAGATCAAAATTAAGATACCTGAGCGCTTGGAGTAACAAATCCTTCAATTCTATAAGTGTGGTTGTCGAGCGCTAGCGAGCAGGGGGCGAAGCCTCCTAGTTTATTTTAATAATCAATATAAAAATAAAATTTTTTGATTCAGTATACTTAAACATAGTTTAGGAAAAGTAAAAGAAAAATATAACTCATGTGTATCCACTAACTAAAACAATATAAAAAATGTCAAGGAATGATAAAAATGACTACAACGGTGCTTCTAATAGTCTTAAATGAAACACCCAGATAATTGTTTGATAGCCTTTAGAGCAAAGTAAGATTTCAACCATCGGAAGTTCAAAGTATTTTTAATACTATCAGAAGATGCTCATTCTCTCCTCTTGATCATGGATAAAGTGTAATACGACTTATTTCGACAAACTAGTCGCCTTTAGCGACTAGGATAGCAACATATGAAAATTATGTTGTACGACATATAAACTTTTGCGGCAACCAAACCGAATGCTCAGCATAACTGTATGAAAGTATTCTAATTCTTTAATCCCTCCTCCAATTTTAGCACCTTAATTAGTTTTTAAACAATATATTAACCAAATGTTTTCATCGTCTAGCTCTTCCCCGTAGCTTTGCCTGTGCGGATAAGCTTTGATTTTAATTTCAACTATTTTCAAGGAATGTCTGCGATATTGTCAAAGTTGTTTGTGCATTGAATTTTAGAAATAATTTAAAATCTGTTTAGTAGCCATTAAATCACGCAAACCACAGTAACTTGGACATTTCAGAATAGTAGTCAGCAAAAGTATTAAAATTATTTCCATTTCTGTTATGAGCATGAAAAATCTCCCAGAAGAGAAAACTTTTCAACTTATATCAGCATTCTACTGCAGTGACGTCATTTTTTCAACTTTATAAAAAATCTCCTTGTTCCATCCACCAATAATGCGAACGAGTTGAATATGATTTTTTCTAGCATATGATTTTACAAAAATAATGAACACTGAACACATTTCACGGAATACCATTATGCACGTCACCTCAGAACTACACTTAAGGATGAATAGGCAAAGTACCTAGCTCCTTCATGAAAAAGAAGGATTTTAACGACAAATTAAAAGTGATAGTGTACAGCGGAGATGTATAAGGTACTACCATCACTTCACTTAATTGTCCACTGGAAATCCATCAATGAGAAATCAGTTACAAATGCAACCAATAGGAATACATTTCAATTGGGATACGAATGGTCCAATTGGATTCGTGCAAACTAAAATAGATTGAATGATAGTGAAACACTGATCTAGTTCGGCATCTGATTTTGGCATCTCTATTGAATAAAAGAGAAAGGTTAAAGGATTTGAAAGTTATAAATATTGAAAAGAAAACTATGTTGTGTTATTTCATTAATTCTACTTCATAGTGCCCCTCTTCAAAGCTTAGTCAGTTTTTTAAAAACAAATCAAATTGCGTTGACAAAATAAATTTTATTTGTTTTTAAAAAACTGACTTAGCTTTGAAAAGGGGCACTATAAAGTAGAATGAATGAAATAAGAGAATATAGGTATAAGAGTATTGGTATAAGAGAAAGAAATGAATGAGATGAGAGGTAGAAAATTTGTACCTGGGGAGTACAAATATTTGACAAACTTCTTACTAGAAGTTCAATTTTTATTACTTATATATTTTATTTTATGTATTCATTTATTATATTTTATGCGTTATACAACACGTATCATTTTATATGAATTATCTCGAGCAATATGCTTATTACTAATTCTTTACTCTCAATTTTAGGTAACAAGGACCTCAAGGATCCGCATCTCACAATGAAGGGGTAAAGGGCCGTTCCGGCCTCTGGCACCTCGATCCACCGACAGGACTAGGACTGTTATGTTAAAATACCACAGTTTGCATGAAGCGTAATAGCGCATAAATAAGGTTGCAAACTGTTTTAGTCAATAGTTAAATGCTAAAATGTGGAGCTCGAGAATTTAAAAAAGCTATTCAATTTAAATTAATTAACTCAAACACGTGACTCTGCAGTACGTGAGACACGTGGTATTTGTCTAATAACAGTAAATCAGTTTAATCACATCCAATTAATAGTAATGAATTCAAAATATGACATTCTTGTAAGATTTGTAAAATACAAGATAAAACTCAAATTATTGTATTGAACTCCTTTTTCTTAAAGAAATTACCATTTACAAATAAATAATACCCTTAAAATTACTCTTTCTTAATATTTGTGATTTTGTTGCGAGACATCTGATGGATAAATCTAATGATTATTATCTACATTAAGTATTACATTAGAATTAATCTAAAAATTACCATAATATCATGTTAAACAAAAGACAAACGACACAAAATTTTAACGAACTAAAATGATGCACGAAAAAGGAAATAATTTTTAAAATGCAGATGAATACAATGATAATGAGCCAGTCATTAATGCAGTTTTTTTTTTATTTCGGTTCAATAATCATACACAAAAAAAGAAGGTTGAATGGTGTGCGTTTATTGCGTTAATCGAAACTCGCGTAACCTTCAAATCTGAATAAATACGAACTGACCTACGAACTGCGCGTTTTTTCAGTTCATCCAAGAATTAGGATCTTCAAACGTTTCTTCATTCCTCGTTCTTAAAGTCTTCGAAGTTTCTTTGTTTTAAGTCTTCAATATTTGTTTTATGAATACATAAAGTGATAGTTCAAAATTTAATATATAATCAGACATTAGCTTATTGATTTCTGTAGTAGTTTTTTAGGTGTGAGCGTTTGGTTAGGCGAAAATGGAACTTTTACCCGTTTGGGTGGAGGGTTTAAGCCCTGAATTGGTGAAAAGAGCTCGGGATGATTTAGGAGAAACACCCGAAATACAAGCGGAAGCCTTGTTGGAATTAAGAAAGATGATAAATGGTGAGTTTAAAATATTTTATTTTATAAGCGGTGCTGATCAGCCCACCCAATTCTTAGTTCATGACTATCAATGTTCAACTCCGTAGCCTTTTAATTTTGAACCCAACTCAGACAAGGAAAATATTCTGGGATTGGATAATCTAGCCTTCGCTGGAGGACTCATTGATGGAACTAAGTCATATTTGTATTGCATGGAAACCACGGAAACCTCTCACTGTTAGCCCGACAGTTGGGCGGACTTTAAGTCATGATTCGTCTGCCAGTGAGAATATTTTACTTCAGTTTTGAGGTTACTCATTACCTCCTACACCAGAAAGCCACCACATGGTTTTTTATCAGTAGTCTGCGCAGACTATTTAAAAAGTGAACCAGTTGTGAGTATGAATCCAAATTCTTTTTTAAAAGTAATTGAGAGAAATATACCATAGATATTTGTGAATTGAATCTGTAGTAAGTAAAGCGAATTGAATCTGTTTTTAAGTAAATAAGACAAACCATTTATATTCAAACATTAAACAAATTTTTAGACATATATTTGCAACCACTATCTTATTTTTACTAGACTTTCTATTAAATGTTTCTTTTGTGTTTATCTTCATAGTGGTCTGATTGGACTATCTCAAAAAAACGTGGGGAGATTACTTTTGTCATACATTAGATTCTGCTTGATGCTAGAAACGTTTGTAAACCTAGTGATGTATTCGTTCATGCGTCTAATTGGCGCGTGTTCGTAGAGATAGGTATATAAGAAACGTTCGTAAACCTAGCGTTAAATAAAGGACTTATAGATGTTCTGCTTCATATCACAGAAATTTGGAATAGTGAATGAAAAAAATCTGTAAATTGTTTACAATTTCAAATTAATATTGAAATGTATATATTTGGAATTTTGCACAGAGAAACCAAATATATATTTAGAATATTCTTCAGTGAAAAGTTTTATGTACTATTTATTCTAATCTTCATAGTCTTCAAAAAAATACACAAGAGAAAAACAAGCAGTATACGGATGTAACATGTCCAATAAACGAGTAAAGCGAGCTCGCATTGCGAAGCAATTTTAGGGCTTGGAGAGCAGGTTGTGGAACTACTTTAATTTTTTAAATTTAAAAGCAAACGGATAAATTTTAAATTACATTTTAAAAGTTTATTATAGCTATCCCTTTGGTTTTGTATGTAAATTAAAGTTTTGCTCGTTTTGTTAGAAAAAGTCGGGGACGTTTTGGCCAAACAATCTCACCATTTTACAAACATTCTGTAACTTAAAAGCAGCGGGTTCGAATCCCACCGTTACATTTAAGTGATGCCCTGTTTTAACTTATGCTATATGTTATTCAACTTGACTAGGGTTATAAATCGGCCTTTCTAACTAGTACAAAAATATCCTATTTCAAGCTTGTATGCTTGTTGAGCAATCAGACGGGAACTGAGGAGACAGAGCTGGGATTTGACGAGCAATAGCGAGTAAGTGGGTGAATATCCTAGCTCATGTTTTAAAGCAAAGGTATAATTAAAAGGATAAAATGACTGCTAACACTTTTTGATATCACTTTTAAATTTTTAAAGTTTTTATTTTTGTCTCTTACGACAATTTCACAACAAAGCTTCCACAGGTTTTTTTTTTTCTTTTAAAAAATTCAAGAAAATTAATTACTTATAATTTCCAATATATTTATTGCAGAATTAACTAAACTTATTATTTTCTCAAATAAGTTTTAATTTTGTTTATAAAATTTTCTCTCACAAAACCTATTCTATATTTATTTTTTTCCCTCTGACAGATGACCCTGATTTCATTTGCCCAGAAAATGACACCTTTCTAATTCGATTTCTAAGAGTGAAGAAATATAACGCTAAAAAAACCTTCAAGACTCTTCGAAATTACTATGAATTTAAAAGAAAAGATCCTGGACTAATGACCGATAAAGTGAAGAAGATAATCGATTTAGGCCATATGCTAGTTTCTCCTTTAAGGGCACTTGATGGCGGGTTGGTTGCAAACTTTCAAGTGGGTAAGTTTGATTGGAATTTTATTTATCTTGCGTAGCGGCTACAAATTTATTTTCAGCTATGGAACTCTACATCAGATGTTCCCAAATCGTATTCCACTGCCCCCTAGGGTTCGATGGTAAGTTAAAGGGGCTCCGTAAGTTAGGACTTTTTTAATGCACAAATATTTTGGAACTTTTAATTATATTTAAATCTAATCAATAAGCCATTATTTACTTAATATTCAGGTTGCTTTTATGAAATTGTTCAAACTGAAATGGCAATAAAAATGAAATGGCGCTTTTTAAAAAAAGAAATATATAATTTTTTATTGACAATATATTATGAAAGAGGCATGCATTTAAAAAAATGATTTCAAGTTTCCCACTGTCTTTCAAATCAAAGTAAACTAATGAATTCGCTAATCAAGAAAGAATAACAATGTTCAACGTTTATAGAAGCTCCTTTTAGAGCTCATTTCAAAGAAAACCATAATTCGTCTCTTTCATTTGTTTTCAGTTTATGTTTATATTCAGTTATGTTTTCAGTTTCAGCACTAGGCTGCACAAAGCTCCAAGACTACGTATTTAGCAGTAAGACATAAAATCTAATTTAAGATTATTAATGATAAAGTGATGAAAAAAATTCATTCGTTTTATTTTATTTTATAACCGTCGTAGAACAGCAACTCAATTTTAAGTTTACGACTACCAATGTTCAACTTCGTAGTCTTGCAATTTTGAATCCAATCTAGAAGACAAGGGAACTCCTGGATCAAGTGTTGAGAGAAACTAGCCTTCGTGGAGGACGTTTTGATGAAACTAACCTGCATTTTCCTTAAAAGAGAGAAAAAGCATGAAAACCTCCCATGATTATCCTGACCGCAAGGTGACTCTAACACATGATCCGTCTACCACTGAGGATATTTTACGTCAGTACTGTGGTCTGTGTGAGCCGGATGCGGAATTCGTATCGACTAGCCATCGCTGGGATTCGAACCTGGTTTACTTTAGTGAAGGCGAACGCTCCATCACCTAAGCCACCACGGTTCCATTCTTTTTGTTTTATTTTATATTTTATTTTATATCTGTCATTGAACAGCCGATCTAGTTTTGAATTTACGACTACTAATGTTCAACTCCGTAGCCTTGTAGTTTTGAACCAATCCAGAATACAAGGAAACTCTTGAATCAGTACCCCAGAGGTATGATTTGTAATGGGAGCATGGAGGACTTTGCTCTTAGACAGATTTAACGTGCATCAGTCACCATTTACTACACGGTCTTCAGCTGGCAGGGAACGAACACACGAACTCTTGGACATGGGCCCAGAGGCCTACCAACCAGGCTATTCCGGCCCCCATTCGTTTTATTAAATAATCTTAAAATAAAATACTATATTATTATTCAATACGTTCACAATTATTTTTATATACCTTTTTTATAAAGTTGGGGCTCCGCCGAAAGAAGTTTGATCTTTTAGGATTCCATTGCCGAAAAAAAAATTGCGAACTTTTGCCTTAGATGGTCTACCTTCGTTCGGCGGAGCTCCAAGATGAAGTTCATTAGCAACAGTAAATATTCTAAAAAAGTGAGACTATTTTGAAAATATTTAATGTGAATAATCAATTCTTTGAATTTTTTTAATAAAAAACAGCCTTAGAATCAGATAAAATATCACGCTGTTGAATTATTAGGTCTGGAGCGTCTTCTAGTTTTGCATATGACAGATTCAGAATTAGAAATTGAATAATATAAGCTGAATTATGTATAAATTCAGTTATGGTTTCAAGGAAAGAATTGTTATAAATTGCCAGGTCGGTTTTCAGAGAAATATTATTCTATATTCTTGAATTTAGTCATTTTGAATTGAGAAATTTTCAAATTAAAAGATTAAGATTTTACATACATAATTTCTTAAAAATTACCAAAAATATAAAATATATTATTTGTTACTGAATGGATACAAACATAGTTACAGGTTTCAGTTCATAATTGTTTTTTTTCCCCTTCGTTTAAAAAAAAAAAAATTAGCCAAACTCGCAACAAAGACTAGCGAAACCTCTGTTACTTATCCATAGAACCCCAAGGTTCCACGGGCCACCTTTTAAGAGCCGTATATCCATCGTAAGCTTTTTTTAAAAAAATTAATGACTTTTTTTAAATAAAATTTGCTATCCATTTAGTACTTACAGTTTTGTTACAATATAGTTCATTTAAAAACATATAAATATATTTAGTGGGTAGTTTAAGTATTTCCTCAACCGGTGTGTACATACGCTACCCAACAATAATGGAAAAGACACTTTGAGTTTTAGAATTTTTTTTTAAATTTCTCAAGAAATACTTAAAGGATTAATTTATAACTTAAAAGATGTGCATCAGTGCAGTTTTTATACTTAGCAATAAGATTTAAAGCTTTCAAAGATACGGGAAACCGACAATTAATTACGAAAGAAGACAAGTATTTTTGAACACCCTATGGAAGAAAATTAAGAAATAAGCTTGCAATTTGTATCAATTACTTTATTTGCTCATTGAAATAACTGCAAAAACTTTCGTAAGCCTAGATTAAATATTTATGAAGATATGGACATTCAGACAAGAATTTCTTTTTTACATGGAGTTAATATAGAAATGTTTCTTATCATTTTGATTAGCCCTTTAATGGGCCCTTTATTTCTAGTAAAAGTAAATTAAAGTATTTTTGGAATTGAGATTGTCTTAAAAACAGTAATTGATATTAAAAAAACAAACTCATTTAGTTTATAAAAATGCCATTTTTTTGGTGGTTAATATATTTAACATGACCTATTAGGAACTTACTGACTTTTATTTTTCTTTATTTATAAAATAAATTCCTTAAATGTAACAGACTTCAAAAGGAATTATGTATTTTATAACTTTTATACGTTTTTTACAAGTGACAAATGGTTATCAATTTTATTCGAACTCACTTCAAGAAAGCTGAAGTTATTGAAAAATGGAAACCTAAATTAAAAGTGGTAAAACGTGGTGGTAAGTACACTTACCACGGCCTACAAAAGGGTTAAACCCTGTAACCGTTACTCATTTTCTTAAAATTAGCAATTTTTCAATAGCCTACAATACAAAAAGACGTAATATAAATATTTATCATCCTACAAGGGCTTTAAAATAAGCATCATGTTTTTATTTTACATTGATACTAAATAAGCTAAATTTATGTGCATATAGGTACTTTGGATTTCGGAAAATTTTCACTTGAAGAGTACTTTAGTGCAGCAATTCTCTGTTGTGAACAATATGCAGAAATTGAGGCAAATCAAGTGTGTGGAAATCATATAATTGTGGATTACAAGGGCGTTTCTCTTAAGAAGATTATAAACATGGCGTCACCTTCATTTTTAACTCAAATTGTCCAGGGGCTCGAAGTAAGTCTGCTAAATTATATAAAAAGTACATAGTACGTTACATAGTGAAACTTAACCCAATAATGTCTGAGTTTTCTTAAACGACGAAATTAAATGCCCCTTTATCAAAAAGAAAGTTTTACACGTTCGTTCAGATAAATCGAATTTCTCTCCTTTGTCTTTGAAAATACACTGTCCTACGGTTTCAAATTCATATTAAAATGTTCAAAACTATATTCAAATTGTTATTATACTACAGTAGCGGAACTATTTTGTTTCGACTAAGAAAAATGCTAACATTGAAAAATTTGTGCTACCATTTTCTTGACGCAGCTTTTCGAAGCTCTGTCGCCAAGTAAAATAAAAAAGCCACAGTTTCAGTGCCTTACACTTGAAGCAATGCGATCATTTTAAACTATATATATATATATATATATAATCTAGCCATGAAGAATTTATTATATGGGCCTTAGAACAGACAAATAATTTGAATGTTCTTAAAGTAATAAAGTTTTTTCTTAAAAATCGCCTATTTAGTGACATTTTTCCACTTAGAGAAAAAAAAAAATTATCAAAATCATTGCCGTATTCTCAGTTTTTGGAGATATTTATGAGTCCACGTTATGCAGCATTGGAGTAAGTTTTTAAATATTTTAAAATTCGACCACAAAAGCTTTTGATTTTCACAAAACAGTTACTTTCCTCCATATTAAAGTTTTGCGCTATTTTCAAAATTAGCCTAGACAGTGCTGGTTTTTGCTAGGCTAAACTTGACCTAATAGTCATAACTAACAGTTGCAAACTCAAAGCAGTTTTAAAAATAGCATATTATTCGTAAAAAAGCATCATTTCATATTACGACGGAAACTCCAAAAAACAGCCTTAAACAATGAAACATTTATAATAAAACCATTTGGGCGAACAATGCGCAAAAAAGGACCACTTTGAATAACTTTTGATCCAATGATCACATCTTCAAGTTTTAGGACTCGATCTTCATGGTTTGAGGGGGTGGCCTCAAATATGCTAATTAATTAGTGCTGACGATATTTTAAGTTACAATATCAGACACAAAAACGTACTTTCTCTGAACAAACATACCATCTTTTCTACGGATTCGGATTTTTGACCCCTGAAATATAGGGGGTAGCCGCAATCTAGGGAATATGGTCACAATAGTTTGGTCAGTACAGCGGTCCAATGTTTGGACCCCTAAATAATAATTTTATTTTTTACTTATTCTACCATATCTAGAGTACTTTTTAAGCGAATTGAAGCATTTTTGCACAAAATTATAAAATTCGTTCATTTAAAGAAATTTTAGTAAATATTTTTTATAATATTATTTAATAATAATCGAAATAGGTTTGAATAGTAAGGTATATAATTTTTGCCTCATTTTATAGTATCTAAACCTGTTTAAATTTTTGTATCATTTTAAAGTATCTCAAGTAAAGTATCTTAACCTGTCAAATTACTAAATTGGAGCAAAATCGGTCAAATAATATCTGAAAAATAGAATTAAAAAAAAATTCTATATTTAAAATTCGACATCTTAGGAACTATTCGACCGATTTCGCTCAAATTTTATATTTTGTTATGTAAAGTTATATATTTTAAAATGATGCAACAAATGGATTAACTTACAATTGATTACCCTTTCTTTCTTATTTAGTCTTTTCTAACAAAATATAACACATTATTATTTTCAGGATTGTTGGCCTCATCGTATAAATAGTTTTACTATTGTCAATGAACCATTTTACTTCAACCTACTTTTCAATGTTATATGGCCAATGTTTTCTAAAAAAATGAAGGAAAGAGTGAGTATATCAGTGTTCCCGTATATGCATTTTTTAAAACGCACATTTATCTTACCATGCTACACTATCATTATACAAATTCATTATGTATGGTATGACAAATGTCAAATATAATTCACTTTTACTAATTTGCTCGCCACAGTTGAAAATACATGCATTAAAGAATTGCGGAAAATATTTAATAAAATTCGCCATAAAAGTTTATTTCACCATGCTACTTTGCAAATTAACGATGTATGGTATGAAAACTGTCAAAGATAATTAACTTTTAATAACTCGCACACAACTGTTGAAAATGTAAGTGTTAAAAAAATATCGGAAAATATTTTTGATTTGATAAAATTTGACATATAAATTTATTTAACCATGCTACGCTTCAAATTCATTGTACATGGTATGAAAATTGTCAAAGATAACTAACTTTTAATAATTCGCACACAACTGTTACAAATATAAGAACTAAAGAAATAGCGAAAAATATTTTTTTAAATAAAATTTGCGGTATAAATTTATTTTACCATGCTGCGCAATAAATTAATTATGTATGGTATAGAAATCGCCAAAGATAGTTAACTTTTACTAATTTTCTCGCAACAGTTGAAAATGCGAATATTAAAGGAATTGCGGAAAATATTTCTTTTTAAAATTGCCATATAAATTTATTTTACCAAGCTACGCTATAGTTAATTACGTATGGCATGAAAATCGTCAAAGAAAATTAAATTTAACTAATTTGCTCACAACTGTTGAAAATGTGTTAAAGGAATAGCGGAAAATATTTTTTTAATAATATTTACCATACAAATTTATTTCACCATGCTACACTACAAATTCATTACGTATGGTATGAAAACTGACAAAGATAATTAACTTTTAATAATTCGCACACAACCGTTGAATTGTGAAAGAGTTAAAGAAATAGCGGAAAAATTTTTTTCATAAACTTTGCCGTATAAATTTATTTCACCAGACTACACTACAAATTCATTACGTATGGTATGAAAACTAACAAAGATAATTAACTTTTAATAATTCGCACACAACTGTTAAAAATGTACATGCTAAAAGAAATGCAGAAAATATTTAATAAAATTTGATATGTTCATTTATTTTACCATGCTACACTACAAATTAAGTATGGTAGGGAAACTGTCAAAAATAATTAACTTTTTTTCTAATTTTTTCGCATCAGTTAAAAATGCAAGGTCAGAGAAATGCGGAAAAAATATTTTTAATGAAATTTACCATGGAAATTTATATCACCATGTTATACTACAAATTCATTATATACGGTATGAAAGAAAACTAAGTCATAAGAAAACCATAAAAAAAACTAATAATGGTTCAAAATTTAAGTTCAAACTTATAAGAATTAATTTAATATACACCACTTTAGATTTTAGATATCTGGTAGGGAATATTTTAGGCTTTCCTCGGCCATTAGAAACATTTATCATCGTGTTAGTAAATGCACATTATTGTTGGTTAGAAGTTTCGATTTTGAAATAACACTTTAACCCATTTAAATCTAATTTTGAGAAAATTCCATTATTTGTATTGACTTAAAAAACATTTTGTGAAAATTGTGGTTTGACAATTCTCAGGGCTGGCAACTACTACAATTATTGCGAAATATCTTACAGCGTGGTAAACAATTAAAAACTAAAGTTCTCAAAATTGTTTTTAATTCTGCCAAAATTTTGAAAGTCTCTCCTCGATCAAGTTGTAAGAAAATGTCGTTTCATACGAACTTTTGAATCATTTAAATGTAGTGTTTAGGAAAATAACTTTGTATCAACTGTGCAAAGAAATGACTCATAAATTGAAACACAAATTTCAAGCTGTCACTAGAACAAAATGTCGCAGGAAAACGTAAAAAGTTGACACCCCTGAATTACGCTTAGATAAATCTAATGTTTTGTAGTGTTAGCTTCCACTTTAGTTTTAAAACATTGCAGTTGTTCAATTTCAGATCAGAATATATACATTTATAAAAGTATTAACAAATTGTATTAGGAATGCCAACGGCTCCGCTATCTGCAAAAGTTTTAGTAAATTGGTAATGAGCTGCGGTGATTCAGAGAATAGAGCGTTCGCCTTCCAATGATGACCCGGGTTCGAATCCCAGCAATGCCTGGTCGATTTAAATTCCGCACTCGGCTCTTCACTAAATATACACACATTGCTGACCTAAAATATCCTCAGTGATAGACGGATCATGGATTAGAGTCACCTTGTCGTCAAGCTAACCATGGGAGGTTTTCGTGGTTTTCCTCTCCATGTAACAGGTTAGTTCCATCAAAAAAGTCCTCCACGAAATCGATATTCTTCTAATACTTAATCTAGGAGTTCTTTTGACTTCTGGATTAGGTTCAAAATTACAATGCTACGGTGTTGAACATTAATAGTTGTAAACCCAAAACTGGGTCGGCTGTTCAACGACGGTTATGAACGGTTGGCAATGTTTAAAATAATAACACTTGTAGAATAAGGCAAATTACAACTACTCTTTAGAAGTGTCACAACTAAATAACTGCAATGAATTTGCAGCTCATATGATACTTTTGAAGTGCAATGATGAAAAAATTACTTCAAATGAAAAATAATAAACTAACAATAACTTAAATTTCAGTTCTACGAGAAAATATTTTTGTTACAAAACGGAGTAAGTTATCATCTCTGTCTCGTTTCTCCAAGATAAAAAAGTTTATTATCTTGATAAGTTCATAAAACATAAAGCTTACGGGAACGTTGCCCTTTAATGGGTTAACATTGAGAGGTCAAGTAGTTTCAGACAGATGTATATTTCATAGACATAGTGGTATTTAGAAATGTAACCTATAACCTAAGTTTTTTTTTTCCATTACATTTTCAAATTTTTCTGAAACCTATAGAAACCACGAGACTTCTTAGGAGGATATTTTTTTATTTGAGAAGTACTATGTAGTGGTGTGAAATAATGAAAATTTATATATATATATTTTTTGTACCAATTTTTAAAAATTGAAGTCTTGTGAGAACTCATTATAATATATAATTTATTATTAATTATTATTTAGTTTTTATTCGCATACCATTATTTTGCAAATTCGAAAACAATTAGCTTATTCGGAATTTTTTTTTATTTATTTTGCAGCGCAATGTTGCCAATCTGGCAGCACTTAATCCAAAAATGTTAAAATTGGTTGCTATATAAAAACTGATGGCGAATTAAATAGCAACTCTTGTAGAATAAGGATAATTACTAGTCCTAGCAGCGTCCTCTTTCCCATCCTCCATCAGCTAACCTTTGCTGAGACGAGATGTTTGCAATGGAGTTCATACCTGCCAACTTTCACTCTTTCCGAGAATGGATTTTCAGAATGGTTGTAAAACAATAAACGAAAAACAATCTGACTCAAAAATATATTTATATTTTGATCACGTTGAAATTTGCTTGCGCAAGAATTATTATGCTTTGCTATATTTATTGTAATTATCTATATGAAGTGGTAGTCAAACTCATTTATAGTTATCATTATAATTCAAAAAATTAATTGGAATTACCTTAGTATTGCTACCACTTTAAATATGAAAATAAAATCTTGGGGAAAATCCGGAAGAGTTGGCAGGTATGGGAGTTGCATTTCATATGATACTTCGAACTTTTGATGAGTTGTGGTGGAAAAAATACTGAACTAAAAACGGCCTAAACTTCCCTTACCGCTCGAAAATACATTTTTACAAAGCTGAGCTTTTCTGAGTTACATTATGAAATACCCTGTATATACAACGCCTCCTATACCTTAAAGCCTCCACGCGGTTTCTATAAGTAGTCCGATCTGCCCACTATGAAGTTAAACCATTACGAAAGAGCCATTTAATAGAAAATCTACTAAAGATAAGAAAGTGGTAGCAAATATATGTCTAAAAATTTTTTTAATTAATGAATATGATTCGTTTGTCTTATTTACTTGTCAACCACTACTGATTCAATTCTCAAATATATATGATATATTTCTCTTAAGTACTTTAAAAAAAGAATTTGGGTTCATGCCCACAACTGGTTCACTTTTCAAATAGTCTGCGCAGACTACTTATAAAAAACCGTGCGGAGGCTTTTTAATGTAGGAGGAGATGGTATATGCAGCCTGGTCAGTGAAGGACTGGCAGATTTTTGAAATAAAAATCCCAATAATAAAATGTAAGTTGATTCTTGAAATTTTCCTGGATGACCTTTCAAATTTAGTTGCGAAAGGTGCCAACTAAAGGCGCGATATGCAATACGAAGTTCCTGAAAGGAATTCGAATGTCATAGGTAATACTTATCTGTGATATACCAGTACCACAAACACATAGTAGATGGCCGGTATTACAAACACATGTCAACCTAAAACTAATAGTCTAGTTTGGTTTGCAAATCCATTTGTAGGCAACTTTTTGATTAATTTCCAAAAGTTCTGTATTAAATTTTCTCACCTATAACAATAAACATACCGATTGTTTCATTCCTCCATTATCTTTTGTTTCCACGATTTTTTAATTTTAAAATCATCCAGTTCTCCGCAGGCAACATTGCACATTTTCAACTATAATATATTAAAATCCTATGAATCTAATATACAATTGTAATTAAACAGTTGTGTTGCCGTAACTTTCGAAATAATTATATTTTGTTTTATTTTTCAGATTTCCTTAGTTGGAAGTAATCTATCGATCTTGCATAAGAAATTTCCAAAAGAATGTCTGCCTGAGAAATTGGGAGGATTTCTTGGACAGGAAGCACACATTGAATTTCGAGATAAAACTATTGCGAATCAGTTGGAAATTGAAAGACTCAAGAAATACAGCTTTCATCGTACTCAGAAACCAGTCAAAAAACTTTCCAGTTGCGGCTTAGAAGAAAATACAAACTTCACACAAAACAATTCAACTACTGTTTCTAATGTAGTCATCTAAGGCAAAATTACTCAAGAAATATTTTATCTGGTTTTAAGTATTTTGGACGAAATGAAAGGCAATTTGAAATCATGAAAAAGGTTATTTTTCGCATAAGTGATAAAAATTTTCATAATTTATCTGCATCTAAAACTATTTTTTAATAATTCGTTTCAATTGATTTGTTTATAAAGCATTCACTCTTTTGTTTAAAAACGCATAAAAAGCTGTTCAATAAGAAGAACGTGAAATTTTAAATAGCTTAAAATAGGAGAGCTGATATTAAAATTAAAAATCTAGAGAACAAAAGGTGAATAAGGAATGAAACAAACGGTAATTTAATTGTAACAGTTGTAATTTTAAAAAAAAATTTCTTACAAAACGTTTGGAATTTAGCTACGAAATTTACTGTATTAAACTCAATTATGTAATGCCGTAGTAATAAAAATGTCGCTGGACTGTAATAACAATTTGTATTACTTTTTTTAGTAGAATATGATTTCGTGATCAATCTTTTAGCACGTACATCTTTATCCATTTTATTTTGGATGTATATATATATATTATTTCCATTAAACATCATTCATTACTTTTATGTCGTTAATACGTAATAGATAATTTTTCGTATAAGGAATGAAACAAACGGTAAATTTATTGTGAAAGCTGTAAATTATTTTTTACAAAATGTTTGGAATTTAGTTACGAAAATTGCTTTACAAAGTTCAATAGCGTAATGCTATAATAATACAAATGTCGTAAGACTGTATAATCACATTTTTCTTTCTTTTTTCAGTAAAGGAATATGGTTTCGTGATCATTCCTTTAACTCATATTTCTTTATCTATTTTATTTTGGAAATATATATATGTACTTAATTTTTCATTAAACATTATTCATTGCTTTTACATTATTGATTCGTTATAGATAATTTTTCATGTAATTATATAATGACAAATTTAAAATATTTTGCAGAAAATGTAAGATACTTTGAGTTTAGTCTTATTTACTATACATTATTTTTGTAACTATATAAAATAAAATTGATTATAAAAGTTTGATTTTATTTCTCCCATAAGCTTACTTAATTCTGATATGGTTTCAGATTGAAAGGTAGTCGGAAACGATAACAGGATTGCAAAAAGCTTACACATCAAAAACATTGACTGGCTATTATCATACAAAAGCAACCTCAAAAGTAGTCTCCTTTTTTTCAAATAAAAAATTGGTTTATTTTCTAATATAATTTATTATTTTTAAAACCTGAATAATTTTTGCTTTTCTAAATAATGGTCACTTCCATAAATGTGTTTTCGTGGACATTATGTCTGTTTTGGAATACCTATATCATACCAACTCTCCATTACGTCCTTGAACCTCCTCTTTCAGTTCATAACCTGTTAAACCGTCACTCGAGCAGTACTTTTATTGTTATGCACTATCATTACGCACCTCTGCATGCCCATTTCTCCTGCTTTTACGCGAGATTTTTTCCAAATATTTAAAATTGTATTAAATTTTATACTTTTAGATTCTATTTTTGGTTTAATATATTCAATTTTTAATGATTTTTATTATTTTTAATACATAAATATCTATGATCATACCTGATATTCTTGCGATAAAATAAAGTCCCGCAAACTGAACAAATTAAGCTAACCTTAGTTATTTCGATACCATTTCAAATATTGTAGGAAGTGAGAATTTCTAGGTTGGTATCTGTTCACATCCATTTTTTATTCCGTGCAATGACTACCTTCTGTTCTCTATGTTGTTGAAATATTTAGCCTTTTAACTTAGTCCTTAAAGTTGGATGTAATAATGAATGAAATTAATATCTAAATTTGAAGGAAAACTCAATCCTTCATCTGACCTTTAATATAATATTTAAAATTTTAAATTGGTTAAAAAATTTATTCTCTATAAGCTACCATTTTAATATTAAAAATGCCCATCACAAATTTAAAATTAGATTATAATTTAAATATTGCAATTTCAGATTTTTTGAAAAAACCATGGCACCGCAGGATTCAACGAAATTTTTGCTTTCGAAAACTTAAGAGAAGACGTAAACCTCAGGCCGATGGCAGCTTACTTTTGCAGTGACGTGATTTTATCTAAAATTCAAAATATTTAAATTCCTTTTACTTCAATTGCATTCCAATTACCAGAAAGAACCACCCCAAAGATCACAATTCAAGACGAATGGGAAAAAGGACGCTAACTGCCCCAGGCGCCCAGATATATTTCGATGATGATGAATTTAAATATTGCATTCTAGAGTGTATAAATTATCTTTAATTAACAACAAAATATCTTTCCTAACACTTTTTACGATTCAAACAATTGCTTCAGGTCTTTATCAGGAATTAGGCATCTTTTCTCTATGTATTCTCATTCAAATAGTCCAGTGTTTATCAAAGTGTGGTACGCGAACCCCCAGGGGCACAGGAACAGTTAAGCGGGGGTGCACGTTCCTATGCAAAGTATCTTGCAACTAACGAAAATTTAAAAAACATTTATTTAAAAACACCGCTAGCCATGAAAATTTACGATTACGTATTTTTCTATTGGCTATTCTTGACAGAGTTGACACTTAATAATTAGTGGTGCTAACATTCAGTTATGATTTTTAATTAATGTGCACTTTTTTATAGTAAAAAATACTTTCCTTTTTTTAGTGGTACACAGCGTTACGAAAATTTAGAAAAAGTACACAAAAGTCACAAGTTAGGGAAACACTGAAATAGTCCATCATTTTCTCTAGTGTGTGTAAGAAAATACTGCAAAGGTCGTCCTTGTTTTGGGTGATCAACTCAACATTACATTTTATTTTCATGAGCAAAAGCTATAAGACTTAGAAACTTGAAATTACGAAGTTGTATGGGAAAATAAATAGTAAAAAGATGGAATAAAAAAACCAACATTCGATAATTTTAATGAGTAAAAAATAATACATTAAAACATCAACTTAGCTACCAGTAGATTAAATTTTTACAGAAAACGTAGAAAGTTGGCAGCCCTGCATGCAATATAAAAAGGAGAGAAAAAAACAAGTTGAGATATACTGCCCGCTGAAATACGATTACATAGTTAGGCTAAAAGGGGCTATGTTCAATGGTAGCGCTAGTTTTTTTTACCCCGAAATGTATGTATAGTAGTAATTGTAAGAGCTTTTTCATGAATTTTCCCCCCATGCTTTTTCGTATTGATTTAATTTAAATTATATTTTGCTTAGACTAATAAGACGATAATTTCGATGGTGTGTAGAAAAGCGCACAAAGAATATGATGGAATAAAAAATTTAATAACTAGTTCAAGACTTATTAACTGTTAAACTTGTAGTAAAAACATTCCATGTAGACAACCCTGCATTCTGCAGGAATACAATGCAGACTTGAAATTCGACGTACTGAAAAGACCATTTTCATTTAAGAACAAACCCCCCTTTTTTTTTAACATTAATATTTTTAAAAGTTATCGGAAGTGTTTTTATATGCTTTTTTAGCATTTTTTTAAAATTTTCTTGCATTAATTTCTAACTGCTTATCCATAGTTCTTAAAAAAATAACCTTTTTCGAGATCTTCATTTCATAACCTCGCTCTTGATTGGTTTTAAAAGTAAGGAAAAAAATGAACATATATATAAAAATGAAAATATATTTAAAAAATATGGAATTGTCGTCGTGGTAAAAATAGGCTATAGAATCTAAGTGATTTAACTGATTTCTAACTATATACCAAATTATCTTGTGAATTAAAGAAAATATATCAAAAATTTATAACAGAATATATAACAGAACAATTAAAAATTTTAACATTTTTAACAGCCTCATGAAACATTTGTCACCATTTTTTAACATTTTCGGTCTGCCATCTTCGTCTCTTCGCCTAATGCGATTAAATCGTAAATTCGTCGAAACAATTGTGTTTTATCGAAAGTATTGGCGAATGGATTTTTTTTACCAAAAGAAAAATATATATTCCCATTGATCTAGGGAAAAAAATGTATTTAAAAAAAAAAAAAAAAAAAACAAATATTTTTTTTTTCAATTCTTATATAAGATAAAAGTTTTACAGTAAGACAATAAAATCTTTATTATTTGTACTAATCTGATAAAATTCTAATCAGAACATTTTAAAGTTCTGATTAGAGACTTTTTACTAAAAGTTTGTGTCAGTCAAAGTCCTTAGAAAAAAAAAAACAAGAGTGAGTGAAAATGCATATTTTTGTAAAAACCCTGACTGGAAAAACAATAACTCTTGAAGTAGAGTCGTCTGACACCATCAATATTGTGAAACAAAAAATTCAAGATGAAGAAGGAATTCCTCCAGATCAACAAAGGCTGATATTTGCGGGTAAGCAGTTGGATGACAATCGCACTCTATCAGATTATGACATTCAAAAAGAATCAACGCCTCACATGGTGCTNTCAGGGAAATGAGCAATGGGTGAAAGCCCTTATATAGCAAGACGGAAAAGAGAAAAACCTGGTACGTAAAACATTTCATTCCAGCATTTTTTTCGAAAAAAATGAAATATCTGTAACTATCAAGATTTCTTTTATAATTCTGGCATATATATAGAACTGTTTCTTTTCCATAATAAAGTAGATATTGTTGAAAAATTTAAAAAAAGAATAAGTAAACTCCTCCCCAAAACTAGCTATAACTGAAATGGTTTTACTACCAGCCTTTCCTCTTTTCCGTCTCGCTTTCACCCCTGCTGCTTATTCATAGTTCTTGAAGTAATAACCCCTTTCGAGATCTTCATTTCATAACCTCGCTCTTGATTGGTTTTTAAAAGTAAGGAAAAAATGAACAAATATATCTTTAAAAAAATGGAATCGCCGTCGTGGTAAAAATTGCCTATAGAGTCTGAGTGATTTAACTGATTGCTATCTATATACCAAATTATCTTGTGAATTAAAGAAAATGTATCAAGTTAAAACTTATCAACTTCATTTAAAAAATAGCACTACAATTAAAAATTTCAACGTTTTTAACAACCGCATGAAACATTTGTCATCATTTCGTAACATTCTCGGTTTTTCCGTCTTCGTCTCTTCGCTTAATGCGATTAAATCGTAAATTCATCGAAAAAAATTGTGTTTTGGCGAAGGCATTGGCGAATGATTTTTTTTTATCAGAAAGAAAAATATATATTCCCCTTGATCTAGGTAAGAAAAAAAATTTTTTTTAAAGCAAATCCTGTATTTTTTATTCGATTACAATGGTAGCAAGATGCATATTATCTTCCTACTATTTTTGCAGAAAATATTTCTTCTCGTGACAATTACCTGGTAATAACATATGCAATAACGTGACAGTAACTTATCAAAAATTAACCCCAACCTATTCTTATTTCTTTTCCTCAAAAACGATAAAACATCTTCATTTTTCATCTTCTCTCCCATTCATTTACTCTTCCCCAATTGCAAAAGAACAATTGATTTGAATTTGCATTTTAATAGAATAATTAAATTTATACCAAATTTTGATTTTGATTTTAAGTTTTTTACGAAAAAAATAATCAAATTTTTTTTTTGAAATTTGTCTTAATTTTAAAATTTGGCTAATGTTTTTGATATTTGGCTAATCTACTGACTAATGAATTGAAGTCGTTAGTGCCGACTTTGTATTTATACAAGTATTAGATCTCAACTAAAGCATGTGGGGGGAGATTTCAAATCAGAAATTAGCCTTGTTCAGAAAACTGCAGTTTTTTTTTTATTTATTTCAAACTGATATTTTTGTTTTAGTTTATTTTTAAATAGACGACTTTTTAAAAATTTGATTTCTCAAGAACTATTCGATCGTATTCGCTCAAATTTTGTACTTTGCCGTGTAAATTTGCATAATTTAAAGTTGTTTAAAAAAGACTGTGCAACTTACTATTCAAAATTTTTTCGATTATTATTAAATAAAGCAATAAAAAGTGATAAACACTTACCAAAATTTATTTTTTGCATGGAATGCTTTGGGTAAAAGAATTTTATAATTGTGTCCAAAAAATTTTTCAGTTCGCACAAAATTTCTCGAGATTTGGCGAAAATCTCAAAAAGT